TCGATCTAAACTAAACTTCAAACTCATTGTGTAAATATATATATATATATATATAGTTTTTTTTTTTTTTTTTAATTTAGTTTTTTCAGTTTTTTTTCCTCTTTTTAGTGTGTTTAAATATATTGCCAAATCATCGATCTCGAAATCAGGTGTGGGACCCACAAAACTTTGGCTTTTTTCCGCTTACCTGCCACGTAAGCTAGTTATCATCTAGAGTGTTCCTCGAAAAACACATAATGTATTAATTTTTTATTTTCTAAAACCATCGAGCCGAAATTAAAATTTATTTACTGAAATATAGTTATTTCACATTTCAATTTAATGTGTTAATTTAATTAAGGGTTTGATTTACTCAAAACTTATTTAAACAATTATTCAAAAATATTAAATTATAAAATTAGTTATAGTTAACTAATATAAACTATTATTAATTTATTTATTTATAAACATACATTTTTATGTAATTATTATTTTGCAATATTATATAATTTATAATTTATGATCTTGTAGATTATAAAAAATTAGAGAAAAAAATAAATAAATAAGAAAAAAGGTTGAGGCGGCGTTTTGTCTTGAAACGTGTGTGGAACATGAAGCGGACGATGCAGGAAGCCCTAATTTTACATTTTCCAAGCTGGAATTTTTAATATAAATTATAAAAATATTTTTGTTTGAAAATAAAAAGGGGGAATTATTAACGATAAAGAATAAGGCTACGTTTGGGGTTTGTTAATCACTCGCAAGGGGTGTGTGTATGGTTGGATGGAAGGACATGAGAGGGACCCTCTCCTTCCAAACATTACATTATCTCACTTTCTTCCAAATATTTTCTTTGTTTTCTCTCTCCTCTTGGATCCCACTTGGACTGTCCCCCTACTTCACATCACCGGAGCGGTACACGTAGAATCTGAGTTGTATGTCGAGATTTGTTACATAGTTTATAACATATTCTTTCAAACCTGTAAATCTAAGTCTCTTATCATGATGTTACTTGATTTTCATCCACTGTTTGTGTATCTTGCTCGCTACTGATTCTAATTAGATCTCTCGCGTTCATTGTGCCACCATTTGAACCAAAATGAACTAAAATTGTAAAAGGGTCGTGTTTTATTTGCTCGTGCTCAATGTTTTGTTTTTCGAGGAAATAAATAGGTGATGAAAAAAAAAAAAAAAACTCTTGTGGTGTTTGCCACGTATTTAAATCAAATAAATTATTATTATAAAATAATGTTGATGATGGGCTTACATTCAACCCCAATAGCTAAGGCATAGGCTTTGTCTTCTACTTAGTTGGGCCATGAAATCTAAGCCCAATGGGCTTTAAATGACAGAACGAATTTGTAGGCTAGTAATTATTGCGTGGACGGTTATGGGCCCGTCAATGAAAAAGTTTCGTAATTCATTCACTATATTTTATATAAATTAATATAATATCATGGGATATTTAGAAACTGCAATTAAAAAAATAAAATAATTTCTTATTTTAATTTTATTTTATGCGCAATTTAATTTAAGCAAATATATATATAATTTCCACGTATTATTTTCTCTTTCTCATATGGAATTAATTTTTTTTATTGTTTTAGGATAAAATCTTAATTATATGGACGAGCTTAAATATACTATTTATATTTTAAATATTTGTAATAATTTTTAAATTGTACTAACAAACGTAAAAAATAACGAACGCATAAAATACAAGTCGTTGAAAGGGACAAATGACATATCTCTATCATATTAATCAACTAATTGAATTCATATAAATAAATATTTACTGTAGGGATATTTTGATCGACCTTAATTATGTTGAACAACAAACAAAAGACAATAAACGGAACGTGTTTATCTCAAACAATCAGTTATTGAAAACGACACATAACATATCTCATACTATATTGATCGACTAACCATATCCATATTAATAAATGCTCATTTTTTATTAAAAAAAAGGGTGTATAAAGTTTCAAACATCATCATTATCCATTACTCCTAGTCAAATTGAGCTCGAGCTTTCACCCATATCTCATTTAATAGACTCGTAAAAAAAACATTCATCGAAAATAAGTTATACGCCTGATCGAAACGTTGACTATTAAATTAGATTCCATTAAATATATATAAAGGAAGTAAAAGCACGGATATCAACCTTTTAATTCGTAGGATTAATAGATTTACATACGTAACGATATATGTTCTGATCGTCTTTAAATATACTCTCGAAGACTGAATAGATAATCGAAAAGTAAGGGTATTATTGTAATATCACATCAAGTTGGCGTAGGGATTTTCAACTCTTTTTTTTAGGTTGCATGAGTAGGAATGACGCTGAAATGTTTTTCTTCTTATCCATTACTACATATCAAAGAAAAGCGATCCCAAATTTAGTTGTTTCGAAAGCCACATGACAGCTTCTCTATTAATCAATTGCACGTTGACACATGGCTCCACTCAGACAATGACACGTAGGCCCCCTTAAATTTAATTCTCTCCCCGTTTTATATTATTTTATATATTTATCCATTTCCATAATTGAAAATTACTAAAAGAGATAACTCATTAACAAGATTTATATGAATAAAGTTGTTTTTGAAAATAAAAGAAAAAAACCTTTTTACTTTCTTATAATAAAATAATTGGTGGGTAATTATTTTATAAAATAAAATTAAAAACTTTTGATAAAATATTAAGCATATCTACTTTTAATTTTTAAATTTTTTATTTTATTTTAGTCAAAATTGAAGAGCCCAAAATTTAAAATAGCTTTTAAGAGAGGGAGTTGGACCATACCCAAACCCATAACACCGCCTCCATTTTTAGGGTTTTGGTAAAGAGCTAAACTTATTCTTCGAGTTAGGTGAGAAGGTAGGCAATTGATAAGCTTAACAATTACACGTACGGTTATTATTTGAATTTTGATGAACGTTCTTAAAAATATTACGCCTAAAATATTTCAGACACTAATTTAGTTGAAAAAAATGAATGGTCCACAAATCCGATACGAATAAACTTAGAAAAAATGTTTGTTATAACTTCAATTTCTCGTACCTAATATTGATCCATATTATTAATTAATTTCCATGCTCACAGATCCTCTACCAATTATTATATAATTTTTTAAAGCAAAAAATAAAGGGAGAAAACTATATGCTAATAATTGATGATATTTTAGAGTAAGGGTGAAGGATAGTTAAGATGGTAACAAGTTGCGTGTGGTATCGAATATTAGAAGGCCCTTTGTGGTCCTTTCATGGTCTACTTTTTCATTATTACATGCTTTCTACAATGAATAAATAAATATTTATTTATTTGGGTTATAAGATAATTTCCAAAATTAATGGTTTGTTTGTTTTAATAATCAATGATGGTGACATATCATAATCATTATCCATTTTCACATAAAGTATTTCATTATTATTATTATTATTTTGAGAAATTTGAAGAGGGAAGTAAAAAATGTGATTTGAGATATGGACATGAGTTGGGCTTGAGGGAATAAAGTAAAGGTAATGGGCCCAGCCCACATAGTAGAAGGGTAAATTAATAGTAAAAATAAATATAATATTATTTATTATTATATGGATAAGGAAGTGGGGCCCATTTGCTTAGGTGGCTGCTGATGCACGCATTTCTCTCTATTCACACACAAAAATAAATAAAGCATAAAGAAAAAAAAAAAAAAAGTATCGATAATAATTATAAATCATATTTTAAAAAATTGATGGGTAGAAATGGATGTAACTAACTTATGTATCAAAATTGGAGCATGACGTTAATTAATGTTTATTTTTAATATTCTTTTACGTTATAATGATTACTATGAAGAAATGTCGTCATCTCCATAATATATTTTTTTTTTGTGTCATTTTGTAAATAAATATTTTAATTGATTTGGTTGATATGTTATTGTAATAATGTAAAAAAAATGGATTTTTAATATCTTTTAAAAAATTTTATTTTTCAAAAGGTAATAATTATTATTGTTATTATTATTTCAAGTTAAATGCTGGAAAAAATAAACCAGACTCATGTAATTATTATATTAAAATATAGATGGAATGTTTTGACCTTAGTAGCTATTTTTAAAGAACAAAATTATATATATTTTTTTTTCAATTATTGCAAAATTGAGATGTAATATTTTGATTTTATGAAATATAAACCTACGTATGGGCATGGCTATTGTGTTAGGACTAAAATTTTATTTATTTATTCTCCAAAATAAAATAAAAAAAGCATTAAATTAATTTTAAATTCTAATTGTGGATATTGGAACATTGCATTAGAGGGGGCGGCAGCCTAGGCAACCGAATAAAGGTTATAAATAATAATAAAATAAATAAAATAAATAATCCTTAACAACCGCCATTGTTGAACTTAAATCATCACCAAATTCATCATATCAATTATTGTTTTTATTATAACACTTACCAATTTCCCACTAATACATATAATTATTCCAAAATTATCAATATTATTTTTTATTTTATTTTAAATAATTATTTAACTAATTATTTATCGTTAATTATATTGATTTGATTGATTAATATTTAAAAAATTAAGCGATTAAAATGTTACAAATATGGAGTGTAGTTCACTAATTAATTAATTACCTAATTGTTTTTTTAAAGTAAAAAGGAGCATTAAATTTGTTCATACTAAACCCTCGTGGATTAGTTGGAAGTTAGCGAGACTAATTTGAAAATTGGACCCAATAATAACTTGCCACGTGTATGTCAGGGTAAATTCTAATTGAACTTGATAACCTTCCAGTCAAAGCAGCCACGTCAGAAGGTCGTGCTGACGGTGCGGCAACTTGGCTTATCTGCAATTTTTTTGTGGTGGCCCCTACCTATTATCCTATTATCTCAAAACGCGTTGTGTGTTTTAAATTTTTAGTTTAGTTTCTATAAATGAAATTAAATTATTTTTTATTGAAAATATTAAATTTTATTTTATATTTTAAATTAAAATTTTATTTCGATATTTCAACCCAATTTAATCTTATTTCATATCGGACTAAAATACAACTTATTATATTAATTAAAAAATAGATAAATAACTAATTATCATATCAAATGTAGACTATAATTTATGAACATTGTCAGCAACTGTTGTTAGCCCATTCATGTGGAATGATCATAATCAATGAATTTCAAATCAATAAAATTCTTGTGATATGATTTATTTAATCCAAAGTGTTAATCTTAGAGAATTACTTCTGAAAACCACTTTGCCTAAAGGTAGTTGAAAATGGCAGACGCAGAAGCATTTCCTCAAAAAAGACGGTGAAAATGGCCCCACCCTGTTCTTCCTTGTGCTTCAAATGCTTATAAAGCAGTTGCCTCTTGTACTAACCCCCTCAATATTCCCTCAAAATCCTTACATTTCCATTACTTTTCTGTTTCTCTCTGTTTTCTTCCCCAAAGAATAAGAGTAAAAAAAGAAGAACAGAAAGAAAATAAACCCACCCTTTTATATGTTCTTAAGAATCGGTGTTCAAAATGTTCAAAATGTTCAAAATGTCAAAGATTATGGTGTTGTTTTTGGGTTTGTTTTTGTGGGTTTGTTCATCAGGAATGGCCTCTGTAACTTATGACCACAAAGCCTTAATCATCAATGGCCGGAGGAGAATCTTGATCTCTGGCTCTATTCATTATCCAAGAAGCACTCCCCAGGTTCGAATAGCTCCAATGTGAATCTCGGGTTTGTTTGTTTATCTCTCTCTAATCACTGTTCTTCTTTATAGATGTGGCCGGACCTTATACAGAAGGCCAAAGATGGAGGGTTGGATGTTATTGAAACATATGTGTTCTGGAATGGCCATGAGCCTTCTCCTGGACAGGTAGAACAGGGAGTAATTTTGTTTTTGCCATATGGGTTTTTCTGGGGTTGGATTGTATTGATTCTTAGTGTTTTTGGTGTAAAATTTTCAGTATTATTTTGAGGATCGATACGATTTGGTGAGATTTGTGAAGCTTGTTCAACAAGCAGGCTTGTATGTTCATCTCCGGATTGGTCCATATGTTTGTGCAGAATGGAACTTTGGGTAAGATCTTGTTAATAATTTGTGCTCATGTGGCTCTGTTCTGACTGTTTTAATGCTTCAGTGGATTTCCTGTTTGGTTAAAGTATGTTCCTGGGATTGCCTTTAGGACAGACAATGGACCCTTTAAGGTAGGAAAAATTCTCTGTTCTTTTACTCTATGTTGAAGCAAATGGTTCTATGATTTGTTTGAATGATGGGTTTACTTGTTTTTAATAAAGGCTGCTATGCATAAATTCACCGAGAAGATTGTGAATATGATGAAGGGGGAGAAGTTATATCAAAACCAGGGAGGACCCATTATTCTGTCTCAGGTAACTTCCTACAAACACATAACAAGAGGCTTTTATTGGATTAAAAGCTGGGTTTTGAAGTTTTTGTTTAGTTCTTTATTCGTTTTTAATGTTTTGGGTGATAGATTGAGAATGAATATGGACCGGTGGAGTGGGAGATAGGTGCTCCTGGTAAATCTTACACCAAATGGGCTGCTCAAATGGCTGTAGGTCTTGACACTGGAGTGCCATGGGTGATGTGCAAGCAAGAGGATGCGCCTGACCCTGTGGTATACTATTCTGAACCTTTTTAGTCACGGGCTTCTTTTCTCTTACTGAGATGCTCTCATGTTAAGGAATATGTACTCGAATGTTTGTGTAGCTGACTGTGGATGGAACAGTACGAGAGTTGTGAGATTTCACGTTGGTTGGAGAGGAGAACGAAATATTTTTTATAAGGGTGCGGAAACCTCTCCCGAGTAGACATGTTTTAAAACTGTGAGGTTGATGGTGATACTTAACGGGCTAAAGTAGACAATATATACTAGCGATGGGTTTGGGCGGTTACAAATAGTATTAGAGCAAGACATTGGGCAGTGGACTTTTAAGGGGTGGATTGTGAGATCCCACATCGATTGGAGAGGGGAACGAAACATTTCGTATATGGGTGCGGAAACCTCTCCCTAGTAGACATGTTTTAAATCCGTGAGGCTGATGGTGATATGTAACAGGGCAAAGTAAACAATATCTGCTTAGGCTGATGGCGATATATTTTATCCACCTAATCATGCTTGCCTTCTTATATAAAGCTCTTCTTTATATTCTTAACATTTCTATCTACCTGGTTCTGTTTCAGATTGACACCTGCAATGGATTTTACTGTGAAAATTTCTGGCCGAACAAGAAATATAAGCCCAAAATGTGGACAGAAGCCTGGACTGGTTGGTAAGCAATTTATCCGGTGCCCGTTTTCATCAAATTGTAACAATTAGATTCCACGTCGGTTGGAGAGAGGAACGAAACATTCCTTATAAGGATGTAGAAACCTCTCCCTAAGAAATGCGTTTTAGAATCGTGAGACTGACAGCGATACATAACGAGCCAAAGCAGACAATATCTGACATGTTTTTCATTTGCAAAACATTCCAGGTACACTGAGTTTGGAGGCCCAGTTCCTTACAGGCCAGTTGAAGACTTAGCCTACTCTGTAGCAAGATTCATACAGAATGGTGGTTCTTTAGTTAATTATTATATGGTAATGAGCTATCAAGACTGTTCATAAAGATTGGCTCATTAATGGAATGATATCACATCCTTAACTCTTTCAAACTTTTCTCTCCTGCCAGTACCATGGAGGAACCAACTTCGGTCGAACTGCAGGCGGGCCATTCATTGCCACTAGCTACGACTACGACGCTCCGATCGACGAGTATGGTAAGCATGTGAAACAGTAGCTTTCAGAAGTAGATTCTGAGATGGTTTGATTGCTAATATTTGTTGGATATGGAAGGCCTATTAAGGGAACCGAAATGGGGACATCTAAGGGATCTGCATAAAGCCATCAAGTTGTGTGAGCCTGCTTTAGTGTCGGTAGATCCTACTGTGTCATCGTTAGGTAGCAACCAAGAGGTAGGATCATGATCTGGCTGATGAAAGGTTCATTTTTGTTTAGAAGATGGTTTGATTTGACTCTTTTTATGATATCTAAGGCTCATGTCTTCAAGACAAGATCAGGGTCATGTGCTGCTTTTCTAGCCAATTATGATGCATCCTCTTCTGCTAGAGTCAGCTTTGGAAATAATCAATATGACCTACCACCTTGGTCCGTCAGCATCCTTCCTGACTGCAAAACTGCCATTTTCAACACTGCAAAAGTAAGACAAAACACTTTTCAAATTCTGAAGTTTCATTGCGTGGATATCTTTTTTGTCTTAGAGGATTGTTCGGGGAGTCCCACGTTGGTTAATTAAGGGAATAATCATGCATTTATAAGTAAGGAATACATATTCGTTCGTATGAGGTCTGTTGGGGAAGTCCCGAGAGCTTACGCTCAAAGTGATACCATTGTGGAGGGTCGTGATTCCTAACATGGTATCAGAGGTATACCCTTAACTTAGCTATGTCGAACAAAGTAGTTGAGACTCTCGAAAATGTCAAACAAAGGGTATACTTTGTTCGAGGGCTCTAGATAAGAAGTCAAGCCTCGATTAAGGGGAGGTTGTTCGAGAGCTCCATTGACCTCAGGGGAGGCTCTATGGTGCACTTTGTTCGAGAGAAGGATTGTTGGAAGAGGAGTCCCACATCCGCTAATTAAGGGGTTGATCATGGGTTTATAAGTTCTTATGGGGAAACAAAAAGCAAAGCCACGAGAGTTTATGCTTAAAAGGATGAAATTTGATGTGACGATTTTTTACAGGTCGGGGCACCGAGCACACAGATTAAGATGACGCCGGTTAGTTCATTTTCATGGCATTCATACAATGAAGAAACTGCCTCTGCTTATGCTGATGATACAACCACCATGGCCGGGTTAGTGGAGCAAATAAGCGTCACCCGGGACACAACAGATTATCTGTGGTACATGACAGAGTAAGTAAAAACTTCATCGTTTACCGCAGTTTTGCTCTCTATTGAACACTGATTTACTCTTCTTCACCCCATGAATGTCCTTCACAGTATAAGAATCGACCCAAATGAAGGCTTCCTGAAGAGCGGACAATGGCCTCTCCTCACCATCTTTTCAGCAGGCCATGCATTGCATGTCTTCATAAATGGCCAGCTATCTGGTACATCAAGATAGATACTCATTTTTTTTTTACTTCAATATCTTCTAAACATCAACTAAATGATTCTAATATCATAATCTATAGGAACTGTTTATGGGAGTTTGGATCATCCCAAATTAACATTCAGTAAATACGTTAATCTAAGGCCAGGAGTTAACAAGCTTTCCATGTTGAGTGTTGCCGTTGGTCTATCCGTAAGTGTTTCAGGTTCTTGATTTCTCCGTTTCGTTAATATCGTCATTGATTCTAAACTCAACTTACATTTTTTCGTTTGCTCGATGTCAGAATGTCGGCGTGCATTACGAGACTTGGAATGCTGGTGTTTTAGGCCCTGTCACTTTGAAGGGACTAAACGAGGGGACAAGAGACATGTCTGGATATAGATGGTCGTACAAGGTACATTACACTAAACCAAGAGACATGTCTGCAATAGTACTAATGTTGTTAAAAACATGATGATCTCAATTATACTGTTCTTGAGCAGGTTGGCTTGAAAGGAGAAGCCATGAATCTTCATTCTGTTAGTGGAAGTAGCTCTGTTGAATGGGTGACAGGCTCATTGGTGGCTCGAAAACAGCCCCTCACATGGTACAAGGTGAGACAACCTTAAATTTAACCTTAAATTTCTACAGCTGCTCTATGGACAGACTTTTATGATCTTAACATTACAGACAACTTTCAATGCCCCGGGAGGCAATGAACCGTTGGCTCTAGATATGAGTAGCATGGGGAAAGGTCAGGTATGGGTTAACGGTCAGAGCATCGGGCGCCATTGGCCTGCATATACCGCTCGGGGTAGCTGTGGCAAATGCAGCTATGCGGGAATCTTTACTGAAAAGAAATGTCATTCTAACTGTGGAGAACCGTCACAAAGATGGTAAAAAAGTTATTTATAAGTTTCGTTTTACCTATTGTTTTTGCGCGTTCTTAACGATGAAACATTTGAAATTTTAGGTATCATGTTCCTCGTTCTTGGTTGAAATCGAGTGGGAACATATTGGTGGTTTTTGAAGAATGGGGTGGCAATCCTGAGGGGATCTCTTTGGTTAAGAGAGCCACTTCCTGATAATACCAAGAATCTTTCAATTTCGGCGGTCTGCAGCTAAGCTCAACCATGCCTCGTATTTCTCTCCGGTTTTACTATATACATTTAGATGTCTCAACATATAGTTCATCCCGAGTGGCGTAAACCGATTGCCAAACTTAGGTCGATAGCTTTGCGCCTCGGACCATATAGCTACACCGACATAGTGTTTGAATTCGCAAGAGAATAAGTGGAGAAGAATACCAAAACCAAACACCATTTTTATGTCAAATGTAGGTAGTGAAGAAGTTTGCTATGTACATAGAAAGAAAATCTATTCTTGGAGTTGAAAACTTTTATCCCATATTCATGATTCGATCATTGGTCGAGATTGTAATGTTTGAATACGATACAAATAATAAATAAAGTACATAATCATTATACTTTACTTTTTACATTAATAAATTGGAAGTGATCATATTAAATGTCTAAGTGTTGACACCTCACTAAAGAAATGATGAACATTTGATCACTTTGATGAAAGCAGGTCGTATCTAATTGAATTATACTCACGTCGCTTTGATATAATTATTATGAGTTAGAAATCATGCAAATTATTCGTAGGATTTCCTTTAAGTGAGAGCTTTTGTCTATATTAGAATTTAGGTATAAATATATAACCGTTCAAACCCATCACTATTAGATGTTGTCAACTTTAGCCCATTACGTATTGTCGTCAGCTTCATGATTTTTAGGATGTGTCTCTTAGGGAGAGATTGAGCTGTTACAAATGATATCAGAGTCAGATATCAGGTGGTGTGCGAGTGAGAACGTTGGGCCCTGAAGGAGAGGTGGATTGTGAGATCCCACGTCGGTTGGAGAGAGAAACAAAACATTTTTTTTATGAGGGTGTGGAAATCCCTCGGTAGTAAACGTGTTTTAAAAATCTTGAGGGGAGCAAAAAAATGAACGGATAATATCTACTAGGGGTGAGTTTGAGTCATGTGGGTATATATAGAAATTTTTTTATTAATTAAGCTGTTGGAAGGTCATAAATAAATAAATTAATTAAGCTATCAATTTCGAAAATTATCATAAATGGAGAATCGTTATTTGTAATTTTAAATTATTCCAAAGAAAAAGTATTTAAAAAAAGAAGTTATTTTAAACTTTAAATTTAAAATAAAATTAAGAAGTCAAAATTACAACTTCATGGTCAAAATTGGTCATTTCAATTCGGACCAACTTCAGAGTCCCAAGTCTCCTCTCTCGCTGCATTTGATGGTGAGTGAAATTGATTATGATTCAATTGCGCCGGCAACACTTTCCTTTTGATTTCTATGATTTCTGCCATTTCGCATTTTGTAATTCGTCGATCATGCTTCTGCAGGCTCCGAAACCTGTTACTAGTCCCGTTCCTGAAGCGTGGTACTCAACCATTGCGCTCTCAGTGATCGCTCCGATGGCCTCTTCGTTGCCGCTTCGATTTTCATGTAAGTTCGATTGAAACCGTCTCCTGAAGTGTAATGACTTCTGTTTGATGTTAACTATTCTGTGTGAAACGATGGGATTGCCCTATACAAGTAGATTAGAGTCTGTTTACTTTCACGGCATGATAGGATCTGGAATGCTTCCTTTAACTTTACCATCACATAGGTTTTTCAACCCTTTTTCCAATCTGAATAATCTTTCACATTTTCAACCAAAGTACTGCTCGTTTTTTCTCCTCTTTGGCTTCAAATGTAAATGCTCCGGTTAATATCAACTATTCAAAACATATCATAGCAATGCCATCCTACCTTTCCTTATTTCAAACATTGCATAGCTTATCATAACAGACCACCTTTGACATATCATATGGCGACACATACATAACCTCACATATCAAGGCTTATCACACATGACACGTTCAAGGCCACCAGTGTCATCATACTTAACGTAATTCTTCAAACTAAACCGATTGTAGAGTCACTTACTTGAATGGCCTAGGCTGAAGTCACTACGACCCCTTGATGCTATCTTAATATTGCTCTCTGAAATTCAATTCTACCTCAGAAATCCTACCATCATACACTAAAATTCTACTATGTAAATTGACTCATTTAATTTTACATAAAAATAGTTTAAATTAGTAAAAAGGTAATCATACTAACCTTAAATGCATTCGAAGAGTTGAGACTGTTAGGAATCACTGATGATATTATCTAGTTTATAATCAAGGAATACTATGACCATTGGTATGAGGTCTTTTGAGGAAGCCCAAAGCAAAGCTATGAGAGTTTATGCTCAAAGTAGACAATATCATACCATTGTGGAGAGTCGTGTTCATCTAACGGAAACAGATTAGCTGAAAGGAACTGCTCAAGTTGGAGGAAAGGAAGCAATTGTTGTAACTTAGAAAACCGAGACTTCTCTTTTATAGAAGTCCAACTCCCTACTTTTTCAACCTAAGACATAACAGATGTCGTGTTCCTATTATCCCAATAGATTAAATCCTTACTATCATCTTCTCTTGGAGCCTATGTTTGGGGTCACTCTAACCATATTGAATATTATTTGCAGCTATGAAGCTACATCTTCTAGAAAATCCGTATTCTGGCCAAGGAACTTACTGGAGGTGCAGTCGCCTTTGTCTTCTTGGTATGCATCTTTCTGTACATTTCTCTTATCAGTTTTATGCACATTTTTTCACCCACCAAACTTACTATACCAAACGACCTTTATTACTCCAAATCCACATTAGGAAATATTTTTATGTATTATTCAAAATTTCCAAATTGTCTGATTTTTTTAGTAATGATTTTGTGATTAGTTTCTAGTTTCTTAAGTTTAACTTGTCTGTCTTTGGATAAAAGATAAAATCCCATAAAATTTGAAATAAGAAAAATAAGTCAACAACACTCAAATTAAATCTAATTATAATGTTTGAACAACCAGAATACAATTATAAAACAAAATATGAAAGACCCCTAATTAGGAATTGAGGGTAAAATATTTTACCTTGAGATTTTTCTAAATATTTCAACTTGAAATTCTATCTCTAAAACCATGAATAAAATCTTTAAGTTCGACTTTACAAGTTTTAAATTTTTGGTCCTCGAATGCTACAATTGCAAAGCACAACGTTCGTAAAACTACCAAAAACTGAGAACTTATCGATGAAAAATTAACTTGTCTATTGACAATTATATTTGGTGTATTTTTCATCTTTTACAAATAATTTCAAAATTTTAAAAAAATTAGGGAATAGATGGATTATAAAATGAGAAAGTCATTAGTAAATAAGCTGTCACTTTTCACCAATTGGAGATGTTTAGTGTAAGTCATCAGGTTTGGGGCTTTCTCTCTCCCCCCTTTCTTTTTATAAATTTCACACTTCATTGAAATTGTTTCTTTTTTTTTTTTTTCTTTAAAAAGAAAATACTAAATAAGATTATGTTTTAAAATTACTAACAATATTTTTTGAGTTACAAGCTTAAATACTCTATCTTACACAAGATCCAAAAATATTATAAAAATAATAACTTTTTTTTGAAAAGTAGTACCGTAAAACCTAAAACAAGCCTTTATTACAATCTTACACAAAAGAGTCATAGAAAGAAAGTGTAGTAGAAGCAATGCTAGACTGGACGAAAAATTATCTTTCTAAATCTTTCAAAGCACAAATTGATCGTTTTTTAAAAATATACAATTAGACCTTTTAGAATTTAAATGAAAATTTATTATATCTGTATGAATCATACTAGAATTGTAAAGTCCAGGTACGTTCATATTAGACATTACTTAAACGTGCACATTGTTATAAAAACAACTCGTACCTTTGATCATAAATTTTTAAACGAATTAAATTCATGGCTTTAGTTCTAAAAAAGGCCAAAAAGATTGGTTTGAAATATTAGGACAATTGCCCATTGCTGAGGCAGTTTTCTAAAATAAGACAGCGACAACTTACCATCGCTACGTTTCTCATGTTTTCAAATGCTTAAATAGCACCTCACCCTTGCAGTGGAGCTCACCGTTCCTCGGTCAAAACATTGATATCTCGTCAGAATGTCAAAGGCTGTGCTGTTGTTTTTATGTTTGTTTTCATGGGTTTGTTTTGCAACGGACTCTGTGACTTATGATCGCAAAGCCGTGATCATTAATGGCCAGAGAAGAATTTTGATTTCTGGCTCTATTCATTACCCAAGAAGCACACCCCAGGTTCGAATACCACCAGCAGGAATCATTGGTGCTTTCTAATTCTCTTTCTAAAACTATTTCTGGGTGTTTGTGATGCTTGCAGATGTGGCCGGGCCTCATACAGAAGGCCAAAGATGGAGGGTTGGATGTTATTGATACATATGTATTCTGGAATGGCCATGAACCTTCTCCTAACAAGGTAGAATGGGAAAGTTTTTGTTTTTTGGGTTTAGATTATATTGATTTTTTGATATTTTGTTTTGCAAATTTACAGTATCATTTTGAGGATAGATACGATTTGGTGAAATTTATAAAGCTGGTTCAGCAAGCAGGCTTATATGTTCATCTCCGTATTGGTCCATATGTCTGTGCAGAATGGAACCTTGGGTAACATAAAATGATATTACCAGAATCTTAACAGAATTTGTTTTCATGTGGCTCTGACGCTCTGTTCTGATTTGTTTTTTTTTTCTTTTTCTCTTCAACAATTCAGTGGATTTCCTGTTTGGCTGAAGTTTGTTCCTGGCATTTCCTTTAGGACAGACAATGAACCCTTCAAGGTTAGAAAATTCTGAAATGTCCATAAAATCATGGACATAAATAATTTTATGGTCCATTTTTCTTTAATATAGGAGGCTATGCAAAAATTTGTTACGAAGATTGTCGATTTGATGAAGTTTGAGAAGCTGTATCACTCCCAGGGAGGACCTATTATTATGTCTCAGGTAAATTTCAAACATATGAACAAGAATCGTTGCTTGCAATTTTAAAGATTGTTTATTTGTTTGTTTAATGTTTTATGTGACAGATTGAGAATGAATATGGCCCAACGGAATGGGAAATAGGTGCCCCTGGTAAATTTTACACCAAATGGGCTGCTCAAATGGCAGTAGGCCTTGGCACTGGAGTGCCATGGGTTATGTGCAAGCAAGAGGATGCCCCTGACCCTGTGGTAAGCCATTCTAATCCCTCTTTTATGGCCTACGGACCTATATGATTGAGTTGTTCATTCCATACTGGGCTTGAGTCATAATTTCATTCCATACCGGACTTGAGTCATAAGTTCATTCCATACCGGACTTGAGTCATAAGTTCATTCCATACCGGGCTTGAGTCATAAGTTCATTCCATACCGGGCAAGACTGGAATAGGTGGAATAGGCTTACGGACTTGTTTGATTGAGTCATAAGTTCATTCCATATAGGGCCAGACCGGAATAGGAATAGGCTTATGGACCTATCTGATTGAGTCATAAGTTCATTCCATATCAGGCCAGACCGGAATATGAATAAACTTATGGACCTATCTGATTGAGTCATAAGTTCATTCCATATCGGGCTAGACCGGAATAGAAATATGCTTACGAACCTATCTGATTGAGTCATAAGTTCATTCCATATCGGGCTAGACCGGAATAGGAATAGGCTTACGAACCTATCTGATTGAGTCATAAGTTCATTCCATATCGGACTAGACCGGAATAGGAATAGGCTTACGAACCTATTTGATTGAGTCATAAGTTCATTCCATATCGGGCCAGACCGGAATAGAAATAGGCTTACGAACCTATCTGATTGAGTCATAAGTTCATTCCATACCGGGTCAAACCGGAATAGGAATAGGCTTACGAACCTATCTGATTGAGTCATAAGTTCATTCCATACAGGGCCAGACCGGAATAGGAATAAGCTTACGGACCTGTTTTTTTACCTATTTCTCTACCTTTGGGCTTCTATTGAATTAGGTTTGATTGTCCAGACTTATTATATAATTAGTAAATTTATGAATCTTGAGGATAATTCTTACAGTTCTGCTTCAGATTGACACCTGCAATGGGTTTTACTGCGAAAATTTCAAACCAAACCGGGATTATAAGCCCAAAATATGGACAGAAGTCTGGAGCGGTTGGTACGTAACTTATCCTTTGTGTGGATTAGAAGATCAAGGTCTCTTGGAATGGAATTGACATTCTTGTCATTTGTTTAATATTCAAGGTACGCTGAATTTGGTGGCCCAAGACCTTACAGGCCAGTCGAGGACTTAGCCTTTTCTGTTGCAAAATTCGTACAGAATGGCGGTTCTATGTTCAACTATTATATGGTAATAAGCTACCAAGAGTGTTCTGTACAGATAGGCCAATTAATGCAAATTATATAATTTTCTTTACTCTTTCAGTGTTCTCTCATGACAGTATCATGGAGGAACTAACTTTGCGCGAACATCTGGTGGGCCTTTCATTGCCACTTCCTATGACTTTGATGCTCCGATTGATGAGTTTGGTATGCTTGAGAAATTCTGGAATAGGTTATCAGATGTTTTGATTATTCTGATGAATCTTTCTTGGATGTGGCAGGCCTTGTAAGGGAACCAAAATGGAGTCATTTAAAAGAGTTGCACAAAGCTATCAAGATGTGTGAACCCGCTTTAGTATCAGTAGATCCTACCGTTACTTGGCTAGGGAAAAATCAAGAGGTAGCTGATGAAATAATATCAAGCTATAATTGTTTGAAACAGTGTCTAATATGATTTTTTTTTAGGCTCGTGTCTTTAAGTCAAGTTCTGGGTCATGTGCTGCCTTCCTAGGAAATTATGACACATCATCTTCTGCAATGGTCAGCTTTTGGAACACCCAATACCACCTACCACCATGGTCCATCAGCATCCTTCCTGACTGCAAATCTGTAGTGTTCAACACTGCAGAGGTAAGAAATATTCAAAATCATTTAACTTATATGATTCTTGATGATAATATATTGATGCGATGGATGTTTACAGGTTGGGGTTCGAAGTTCGAATATTCAGATGACGCCAGTTACTTCATTTGGGTGGCAATCATACAAAGAAGAAATTGTTACTCCTTATGCTCAGGATACAATAACCAAGAATGGGTTAGTGGAGCAAGTTCATGTCACCTGGGATACAACAGATTATCTGTGGTACATGACAGAGTAAGAACCAATACCCATTTTGTTGAACATTTTGTCGAGAACTGTTGAAAACAAACTCAATTGTTTATCTTTTTCAGTATAAAAATTGATCCAAGTGAAGGATTCCTGAAAAGCGGAGAGTGGCCTCTTCTCACCATCTTTTCAGCAGGCCATGCTTTGCATGTTTTCATAAATGGCCAGCTATTCGGTACATTTTGATACACATGTTCATAATTTAATAATCTTCCAATCATTAGCTAAGTCATTATTTTCTGAATTTAGGTACTGTATATGGGAGTTTGGAGAATCCCAAATTGACATTCAGTAAATACGTTCAACTAAAGGCAGGAGATAACGAGCTTGCCATACTCAGTGTTGCTATTGGTCTTCCGGTTAGTTTCTTCATTTCTAATATCCTTATTATTGATTCTGAACTAACTCAACGCTCAATGTCAGAATGTTGGCCTGTATTTCGACACTTGGAATGTTGGCGTTTTAGGCCCGGTGACGTTGAAGGGTCTGCAAGAGGGCACAAGAGACATGTCGGGATATAAATGGTCATACAAGGTACATTGCCACATTACCATTACCAAACCAGTGTAGTAGTGCTAATGTTAGAAGCTAGAGAATCTGATTACAAATGTTTTCTGAGAAGGTTGGGTTAAGAGGAGAACTCATGAATCTTCATTCTGTTCGTGGAAGTAACTCAGTTAGATGGGCAAAAGGGAAATGGTTGGTTGAAAAAGAACCCCTCACCTGGTACAAGGTAAGTTAAATTTGTTTTTGTATGGTGACAAACTTGCTGTAACGTACCAAATTGGCAGACCACTTTTACTACCCCGGGAGGCAATGAACCACTAGCTTTAGATTTGAGCACAATGGGTAAAGGTCAAATATGGGTTAACGGTCGAAGCATCGGTCGTTATTTTTCGGGTTACATCGCGCACAGCGGTTGTAACAACTGCACTTATCCTGGAATCTTTACTGAGAAGAAATGTCTTTCTAACTGTGGAGAGTCCTCTCAAAGATGGTATTAACAGTTACTCCTTGGGCACTGGTTTCTAACTTTTAGAGTACCTATTGGCAATGAATAAAGGTTTTAAAATCTCAGGTACCACGTTCCTCGCGAATGGTTGCTATCGAGCGGCAACTTACTGGTAGTTTTTGAAGAATTTGGTGGAAATCCTGGTGGGATTTCTTTGGTTAAGAGAACTACGGTGTGATGATACCCACCCATAAGCATAAGTTTTTTGCTTGCTTGTGTATAGAAATAAATGTTGTTCTTGGGTTCTTCAAAACTTTGATCCAAAATTCAATCCGTTATGCATTTATTTGATCCATTTGTTATGTTTGAATACAATATAAGTTTAATATATAGAATATTTTATGTATTTTTGTTAAATTAAAATATGTATAATATTATGAACAAATGATAAATTTAGTGCTATTGGCTTTGAATTTGTTTTTGTCATTTGTTCGTAGAAATTTATTTAACATATTTTGTTGCAATTTAAAAATTATAATGGCTTTTTCCTCCGTCTCTTATATGGGTTTCATAGGAATTTGTTCTACAAGCGTCTTGTTTATCTCGATGTCTTGTTTATCTCGTGAAACGGGCAGAATGACTATTCCAATTCTAAAAATACTAAGTATTTTAATTTTTTTTAAATTATAAAATTAAAAATTATTTTTTTTTTTACCAAATTTATAATTTAACCTACAATATTGTAAATTATATAACAAATTATCTTATTTTGGTTAAATTAAAATAGGTTTTAATATAATGATTAAATGATAAATTTAGTGGCTTTGAATTTGTTTTTTGTGGTTTTTTCATAGAAGTTTTGTAAAATCATAAAATGAATTTTAATTTTTAAAATTATAAATTAACATTTAATTTTCAACCAAATTTGTAATTTAACCTACAATATATTAAAAATTATATAACATTTTAAAGTACAATTTTGTAGTCAAAATTAGCCTTTTCATTTCAGCAAAATAACCCTAAAGTACTCCGTTCCCCATATCTCTTCCCTCAGTCGTCAATTCCAGTTGACCAGAGAGAACTCCAGATCTCTTTGGAATCAGTTCTTCGCCCCCCACCGGATTTGATGGTGAGTGAAATTGAAGTCGATGGAATCATGGTCGAATTGCTTTGGAAACAGTTCCTTTTGATTTCGACGTCTTTAACGTTTCGCGTTTTGTAATTCTATGGACCATCATTTTGCAGGCTCCGAAACCTGTTACGAGTCCCGTCCCCGAAGCCTGGTACCCAACCCTTGCGGTCTTGATGATCGCTGTTGGCCTTATCATTACCGCCTCGTTTTTCATGTAAGTTCTATTGGATCTGTCTCTCTGTTGCAAAATGAAATCTGGTTGATGTTAATTATTCACGTGAAATGATTGGTTTTCCCCCTTTCTCGTTCTTTGCAAGTAGATCAGTGTTTGTTTAGTCTACTTCCAGACATTTGTTACTTGCTTAATTCTCTTTGATTACAATGGAATTGTTAGAACATAATTAGTTGTGAAGTTTACAAGTTTCTGATCTTTGGTTCGGAAGTGTGGGAATTTCTTGATCCAATCAAGTACCATTATCTTTTTGTACCATCCATACTGAAATTGAGAAACATTGTGAAATTTAAGTTTGAATGCGTTGACACTCATCTATTTCCTTCAGAGATGTTCTTTAGTAGGCTTCAGGCTTTTCATCAAACTCACGGTGGGACTAATTTTCATTATCCAAGCCTTTGTTTATATCGTCCAGCAGAAGAAGGCCATTGAACCATCGATAGAAAAGTCCACCGTGCTCTCTTTCACAAGAATTCCTCCATTTAAGGACGTTCAACCTTTAAAAGTGAACAATGAAGGTCAATCCCCGACTCTAGGAAGGTAGACTCCAACCTACGAGTCCTTTGCTTGACGTAGAGGAAGATTTTTGTTGTTTTGGGGTCAAGAAATTGTGAAGTTTTCCCCCTTCCGCTAAATTTCTATTTCTGCCACACTTTCAGAATTTTATTTCAAAAGAAAAATGGGGATATGTACTCCCTTCAACGAAAGCGATCCTCCAGGAAGAGAATTTAGAGATGGATAGAATTAGTATCTCGATAGTTATCTTTTCCCTCTTTGGTGATTCATCCAAGGACGCTCTCCACTACAGAATCCCCTTACGACTTAGAAATCATCGAGAGGAGCTCCCTTTAAGGCAGACAAACATTTCAGAGATAGAACTATTCAAGATTCACTCTCAAATAGTTCCTTAAAAACTCCTTCCAAGTGCCCTTTTAAAAAAGATCCCAATTGTCTTGATAACGGGCCATAAGAAAAACCATCAAGAACAAGTGACTTTGCCCTATCACTCCCGAGGACTTATTGGTTAATCTCCCCTAAAGTGAAAGGCGCTACCAAATCATTCTTTTCCCTTTCAGAGATAGGGCTCCAATCAATTCAAATAACAAAAGGTTTAGGAACCACTTTGAGATCGTAGAGATTAGAGAAGTAAAAGAGAGGACCTCTTCCTAAGCTTCCCGTTATCTTTAACTCAGGGCCCAAGTTCCTACTTCTTCTGCCACTAATCCCCCTTGTGGAAGAAGGAAGTGTTGCAATCTCCTTCCTTTGCTCATTTAATCTTGGATTTTTGCCTCCAAGTACAAGTTTCTTTTCTGATCAGCTCTACAAATTCCACTCGACTTTAAAAAAATCAACCAAACGACTGACTACTTTTGATGCTTTATAATGTAGTATGATTTGAGTGATGAGTAAAGACCCATTTCTCATGGACTGCGGAAAACTAATATGGTTATTAATATCCGTGTTTGGCAGTTTGATGATTTTATGTTTCTGTTTATTGTCACCCTTGACTTGATGGTGACGGACTGTACGCCATCACAGATGTTGTTTGTTGCTTTATGTAGTTGTAGCAGTATGCAAGCACAAATGCTTCTAATGGAGACTGATTATAATCTCTCTATTAAGATGATAAGCAATATAAGGAGAAAATTATTGAACTTGATTGATTGGGATTTCTAATTTGATCAAATTAATTTTTGCTGTCAAGATCTATAACACAACCAAGTTTCATAATTTTCTGTTATGGTAGGACCAGATGACATTTTCGTATCATTCCAATAGATCAAATGTTACTGTCATATCGTTCTGGAGTCTATTGTTTTGGGGTCGCTCTAACCATATCAGCTATCATTTGCAGCTATGAAGCTACAACTTCTAGGAAAAACCGTAGTCTGGCCACGGAACTTACGAGAGGAGCCGTTGCCTCAGTTTTCTTGGTATGAATCTCTCTGTAGATCTCTTTAATCGGTTATGCAGATTTTCTCCTTCGCACTGTCCGTGAGCAGAGATTATCCTTGTTTTCAGATTGAGTATTGCCAAATTTGATGATGGAGCTTGATGTTATATATTTACAGCTCTACGTTGTTGTCTGTTGCAGGGTTTTGGATCTTTGTTCTTGCTGCTTGCTTCTGGTGTTTATGTCTAACCTATTAGAAGAACATGTTGAGAACTTTTTTTATTTAGCGGACTCAGTTTTACATGTATGATGCTGGGCTAGGACTACTTACGTAAAAACAGTGGTCTATTTTTCCAATGAGGAATGAATATTTTCGATTTTTTTCTTTAGAATGGAGCATTATACTTATACAATGCATTATGATTGAAGGGATTTTGATTTTGCTGACTCTGAAAATGGCAGTTTTATGAAGAAATCAGCTTTCTCCATTGAAAATGGCAATTGGAAGGAAGAAGGTTGGGTTGATATTGCTTGCTTGATTCCACCCCATATGTAGGGACTAGGGAGCGTTCCCAATCCTTGCTAACAACAATTGTCCCGTAGGTTTTGAGCCCTGTTCTTTAACTTAGCTCCTTTTATTTTCATTTTTATACTCCTGCGTTATATATATATATTAAAAAGCCAATTTTGAAAATTAAAAAAATAATTAGAAACTTATTTTTATTTTTTTGAATTTAGCTAAAAAATCAAATATTTTGTTAAGAAATATGAAACATATTACATAGAAATGTTTAGTTTATTAGAAACTAAACTAAACATTTGTAAAGTGAGGTTTTAGTTTTATGGTTTTGGTCTTCTAAAAATAAGTTTTATCTATCATATTATTTGTTTATTTGTTTTGGTACCTACTTTCTAATGTAGAGTTATGGGAACTAAACAAAAGAAAAAATAGTTTTAAGAAACTTATTTTTTAAATTTTGCTAAAACTTCAAATGTCTCTTTAGTAATTAAATTTGGTAGGAAAACTAGCTTGAATTTAAAACAAAAAAATTGATTAGTTACCAAATGCGGTAGTAACTAATATATTAGGTTTTAATAACGTTGTTGAATTTTTAAAAAATAATTTATTTTCAATTGTAACATAATTGAATTTTTAATTATCTTTACCAAAATTATAAGCTTAATTTTGTTTGTATCATTTTATTTGATATTATATCTTGTAAGTGAAGTTTTTAGTTATATATCTCAATCAATTATCATTAGAATCAAAATTTAAAGTTTTATGTATCAACATCACCTAATAAATTTGTTACTTTTACTATATGTAAAACAAAACTATTTGACACAATTAAAAGTTTGTTGGATTATTAATATGAGGGTTATCTAGAAACTCTATTTTATGAAATTTATGAGAGATAAAAAAAAAGTGTGGATGCTTTATTTAGAAATTCTTTGGCACTGAATCCAAGTATTCAAGAAGAACAAATTGTTCCCGCTCGATATCGTCAAGAATTATTGACTACTGAATGGGAACAAGTTCAGAATCGTGCTTTAATGAGTTGTCAAGCAGTCCGCTTCTCTCTGTCCAAAAAATGCATTATTAGAATTCAATTAGAATGCCACGTGACTTGAGATTTAGGATTGCGGTTATAATCATTCTAATCTATTTATTGTTTTAAAAGTCCAATAATTTATTTAATACAAAATTATTAAACACCATTTAAAAATTAAAACCATCATTAAAAAATGGACTAATTTGCAATATAACCATTTTTTTTTTTTTTTTTTTTTTTGGCCTCTGGATACGGAATTTAAGGAGTTGACAGCAAGGCAAGAACTAGTTGGTCCCTTAAAATAATCTAGATTCTGACACGTGTCACGAAATGGAGCGTAGATGGTAAGGGATCATGATCATGATCGATCCATTTCCAAAATGGAGCGAGCCATGATTTTGTCTGAGATTAGTATAATTTGTGCATACAAGTTGGGAGACTTGAGTGGGGTCGCGTTTAGCCGCGAGAGCAAAAGGATTTAAAGCGAGAAAAATCAGACCCAAGCTCCAGTTAGCTATGGACTCTTCTCAGTCGCAGCAGCAGCAGCAACAACAGCCTCAACAACAGCAACCGCAACTGCAGCAGCAACCTGTTGTGAAGAAGAAGGAGACCAGAGGCCGCAAGCCGAAGCCCAAGGAGGAGAAGAAGGACGAGCAGCAAGCTAAGAAGATGAAGGCTCAGCAACAACCCTCTGTCGACGAGCGCTACACTCAGTGGAAGTCTCTTGTTCCTGTTCTTTACGACTGGTTCGCCAACCACAATCTTGTTTGGCCTTCTCTCTCTTGCCGGTACTCTACTCACTCTTGTTCTGTTTTGAAGAACCTAGTGTAATGTAGGTGATTCTTTCTTTCTTTTTTCTAGGGTTTTCTGTTTGGTGTTAATTTGACCTGGGTTTCTCGTTATTTTTCTTACTTGTTGGAGAAAATCGCCTCCATTGGGTTACTGGATCTGTTGGTTGCAAGTTTTTAGGGTTTTACTATTTGTCGCGCGTCTGCTATTGTTATCATATTGCATTGTGTTTATTACTTCGCAGGGTAGGGATTTTTTCCATTTCGCTACCTCTACGGCTAGTTTGGGGATGGGGGTGTTTATATGGCGTTTCTTTGATTTGAGTTCGACTCTTTTCTGGGTTTTAGGTGGGGTCCTCAGCTCGAGCAAGCGACGTATAAGAATCGACAGCGACTTTATCTATCTGAACAGGTAAACCACAGTCGAGGTCAAATCTAGTTTTTTTTTTTTTTTTTTTTTTTTTTTTTTTTTTTTTTTTTTTTTTTTATTTGGCTTTATTGTTTATATGTTGCTGTAATTGCGCTGGAGCCTGAACCTATTGGTTAATCATGTTAATTAGGACCGAAACATCATGTGAGGATAGAAACTAGTTATTTATGAATTTTTGATATGAGGCTAGAGGTAGAAATGTTCTACATTTAGTTGAAGATCGTTCTGTAAGCGTTGTTCATAGTTTATTTATTTATTTTTCATTCCTTGTCGCCAGACTGATGGTAGTGTTCCGAATACACTGGTCATTGCAAATTGTGAAGTTGTGAAGCCCAGGGTTGCAGCTGCGGAGCACATTTCTCAGGTGTTGATCAATTTCAAAATTTAAAGCTCTATGGACTTTTCTCATGCTACTTAATCAATTTATCATATGTTATTATTGTATCTCAGTTCAATGAAGAAGCACGCTCTCCATTTGTAAAGAAGTACAAGACTATCATACACCCTGGTGAGGTATGGATATGAAAATTCTTGAATAATGAAGTATGAGCTATAATGAAATTCATATAAGCTGTTTGATTCCGTCAGGCAGTATTTCCATGTTTCCATGTGATTATTGTTACATTATTTTTTCCTATTTGAGTTTTAAGGTTTTTCTCAGTCTCGAACATTTATATTGCCTTCTTTGAATAGTTGTAGCTGTTTGGTTGGATGTGGAAATTGACTGAAAATGACGAGTTGTATTAAAATTCTATTCTATTTCTAATGGACTTCGTTGAACATTTTTCCAGGTTAACAGAATTAGGGAACTTCCCCAGAATGCTAGAATTGTTGCCACACACACTGATAGTCCAGATGTATGCGTTTTTAATTTTAGTTTCTCCATTATTCCAAGGAGTATATATATTCAACCACTATTGCTTTAAATCTCTTTGGAATTCACCATTCAGGTTCTCATTTGGGATGTTGAGGCACAACCTAATCGTCATGCTGTCCTTGGTGCCACAAATTCTCGCCCAGATTTGGTAATTATGCTAAAAACTCAACTGCCCGGACAGTTTGTTGCTGTCTTTTACGTGTTGCTATTATTCTAAAGATCGGGCGCATATCTCTTCTCCTTTACTACAACCAATGAAGAATCCGTAACATTGATGTTGAAACTATGGCTTGCATTAAAGCAAAACTGATGTTACCATTTGACTTTTTGGGCTCTGCATCATTATGGTGACTTGCACAAATTGCTGATAAGATGGGAGACATTATTTGTACTACATTGTTTTAGATTCTCATTCAAGCTCTAAACATGAATATGGTGTCAAATGAGAGAGATTCAACTCTGTGCTTCGCTTTCTTTTTGGTATTCTGAAACTCTTGAAGCCTCTTAGATTAAAATTTTGGGCTTGGCTGGATCCCGTTGTAGAAGTATAGTGAGATATTGACGTATCCAATGAGTTTAGTTAACTTTCTTACTGTTAAATGCTACTGTCATGGTTGATTTATAGGCTGCCTAATTTATTGTCTTGCGTGTGTAAAAGGTCCAAGAATTTCATTGTTTAAATCTGGCGGAGATTTTCCAAAATTATTATCTAGAGCTGAGGTGGCTTTCCAACCCTGTGACAAGTCGTCTATAAGTGTAGAACTTCTTAAGTCTCATGTTACTCTGCTTAACTATTGTTCAACCTGAAAACTTTAAGATAAATTCTTCTGGTGTTTGTGACATGCACATTCTAAATTCTCTTATTGTGAAACCTTCATCGTGCAATTTTGTGTTAACTTATTATTCATTTGCAGATTCTTACTGGTCATCAAGAAAATGCTGAGTTTGCTCTAGCAATGTGCCCCACTGAACCTTATGTTCTCTCTGGAGGTCGAAAGCTTTCCAGTTTTTTTTTCCCTCTTAAACTTGGTCATGCTAATTAGACCCAATGTCAAAAGTTTTTACTCATCTCTATCATTGTTTCAAATTTAGATGTCCCGATTTTTTTATTTTTTATTTTTTTTTAATTTTTCATTGCCTATCAATTTATTTGTTTTATGGAATTATGACTATCTTATGGTTTTGGGGTGTTACGAATGGGGTTCCATTTCTCAGATGCATTTAATCTTATGGCAGGAAAGGACAAGTTAGTGGTTTTATGGAGTATCCAGGACCATATAACAACTGCCGCCTCAGACGCTGCTGCCTCAAAGTCACCAGGATCTGGTGGTTCTATCATAAAAAAGGCAGGAGAAGCAAATGATAAAACTGCTGAAGGGCCTTCTATTGGGCCACGAGGAGTTTACCATGGCCACGAGGATACTGTTGAAGATGTTACCTTCTGTCCGTCCAAGTAATGTCTTAGCTCTGATTTACGAGCCATCCCCATTTTTATTTTGAGAATTTAGCCATATTTGGACTTATTGAGATGGTACAGTAGATGGTGATTTCTATCTGGGGTGGTAGGATTTTGCCTTGGGGATGAGGGTTGGTTTCTGAATAAAAGTAGTGCTCATAAATCTTGATAGAAATAAACCATCAAGTAGTGAATAACTTTTGCATTATGCTGTCTTCACAAAACTGAAAATAGTGGAAAAACATCAATATAATTGTGCTGTTTTAAACTATTTTAATTCACGCCTTCATGTTTATGTACAATGACTTTATTTCACTTGAGTGGATGTAAGTCTAATTTATAG